TATCTGGTTTTGAGCACCAAGTTACACATACAGCCAATCTGGATTGTTCACAATCAATTTAAGGATAGTGAAAATGGAAAGTAAATTAACATAATAAGCTCGTACGAATTATATTGAGTAAGCTCTATCTAGTGGGCATAAGCTTAACGATCAATAAAATCCTGCTAATAAGCTAGTTGGAACAAAAGAGTAGACTTCGGAATCAGTCTTAATTATGCACAGACACTAGGCCCAGTTTTGGATTAGCTCTATATGATTGAGGATAGACTATCCATCTACACCGAAATCGAGTGACCCCGAGTCAACACAAATTCTCCAAATTTCCACTGTCCAGGGAAGATGGTCAATCTCCTGGAGAAACTACTCTACGAACGTATCCTCTTATTTTTATCCAAAGTGTCGACTACTTTGACAAATATGGCAATAGAGACTAGAGGTATAAACCCTCTTGTCCTAATGGTAAGGATATATAATTCGCAAAATGCTTGGAAGTGGCTCCGCAAATTCTAAAAGATTGGTTTGCTTCGCTGAAACATGCTGTTTTAGTCTGCTTACTACACGTTACAGCCTCTCCTCTTGGCAGCGACTATAAATACCACAAATTCGAAGTCCTGCTTATGCGAGGGACAAGAGGTCTGTTTCATCATTTTTTATAATGTACGTGAGTTGTATTATTCCGCAGTCTGAAAAAGCGGCACACAGACTTATATCTTACAGGAGTACTTCAGTTTTACCATCGTTTCGGAAGGAATAACTAGGAACAATACAATAATCAAGGGCCGTACGGCGGCCGATAGGGCTAAAATTTCACTTTCCCGACTGCTTCAGTCGCAATAAGAGAAACTACAGTTCACGTTGTACGTAACTCAATCGTCTTAAGAAAGAAAAGTTCTTAATACGGAATTAACTTCTAGTTCCTCCTCGCTAGTCGGGCTGCGTACTTTTAAGAGGTTTTAGCGGCCAAGTGGAGCGCAAGTAATTTATATAGATTCATATATGGACAAATAGACAATAATGGGACTGGGACAAAACTACATCTAGGAGCTCCGCTTTCGATTTTACGCTATAAGAGTTCGAGTAACTACCTAAAGCAAGGTGTGGCCTCCAAATGGCAAGGCTGTCCACGTACCATGCTGCATTAAACCAGCCGAGCGCATACGGCTCGGCATTAGAAAAGGCCATTGTGGACTACTTACAGGCATGGAGCGATTTTATAGACTTGCTCAGGCATTCCTCTTTCCACAAATGACTGATTCTCTGCGGAAATATTCTGGCAATCCAAATACTACTGGCTTCACTCGCTGTGCACATATACGTATTTATAAAAATAGGCATTGGCGCGGGGGTTAACGGAGGCAAATAAAATAACTAGACTCAAACGTGTTAATTTTGATGAATACAGTTCTTAGTCGAATCACTCTGTTTAGGCCCGAGTGAAAGCCTACTAAGCCCTCGATCTCCTCCAATTACTCATAGCATCTGTTCATCACTCAATGTTACTTTTTTTGTGCACAGCCCCATTTAGACCCGCTGTCCACCAATCGCAGATACACCGAGTCCTACGGACAGAAAAAGACAGCCTTCGCCGAAGTTCGCCTATATAGCCCCGGGTCTGGTGAATTCCGAGTCAATGGATTCAGGCTTCTGGATGTATTCCCGGAAATAGGGGACCGCGAGCAGATTATGCTTCCGCTCTGTCTTTTAGGTATCTCTTTATCTTATTTGATCTTGATTGGACCTCGAAACGATACATGAAATATCTCGGAAGTAATTATTATACTTATGTCCTAACTAAAATCACATTCCGAAATGCGGCATAGCTATGTCGAACTGAATAGCTAACCTAGATTTCGCACTGAGAAGCACATCCGGACATTAAAGCCTGGCCATGAACAATAATTCAGACGACACCAAAACCGCGATGTATTAACCCAGTCTTGTTTTTATTCTTTTTTAGTAAAGAATTACTTAAATGTTTAATATGCCAAAAAGGCGACATCTTTACCGTATGGAATCATTTCAGGCCATACATTTCGCCTTAATCAACAAAATATTTTGTCATTTTCAGGAAAACTTGGTTGCGTTGATATCGTGGCCACGGTATCCCAGAGCGGACCGGCTTCTCAGGCAAACGCCATCCGTCTAGCGATTTCTAGGGCTCTCGTTTCGTTTGATAAATACCCTCTAGACGGGGAGCAAAGCAAAATTACGCAAATAGGCGAGACCGAAACAGAGCGCCTACGAGTTGCGGGCCTTCTTACTCAGGATGACAGGTTTCCGGAGCGTAAAAAGCCAGGGCAGAAGAAGGCTAGAAAAAAGCCCATTTGGTGAGTTATATTAATTTATCCAAAACCTTAAACCGGGCATTGTTGGGGCTTCAGCAATTGCATTTGACGTAAATCTGTATACTGAGCATCTACCTGACCTATATCATCTATCCTCAATCAGTATTCATCAGCCCGGGAGACAATATTTACACACTATGATACGAAATTAGTCTCGTGAAGCAGACCCAATATCACCCTCTTAGCACACTGATGTCTACGCCCAGAGCACCAGCGGAAAAAAGCATTTCGCTGACAACTGGCAAGTGGATGAGAAAGAATTCTATCGCTACCATACAGTTGTTTCGTAGTTAATAACACTACCATCATGCGTTCTGGGAAATAAAATTGACTTAGTGCGGATGCTTCAATAGTTTGATAAATTTGTTTCCACTTTGCAAACATAATTTAACCATCCCCATTTGTTTTAGGAAAGCTCGGTAATGAAGATAAGTGAAGAAAGGTGTTTACATATTTTACCAATTTCTTCCAAATATAAAAATGCGAATTACTTAAAATATTCTTCTGATTAACTTATCTGAAAGGTCGTTTCAGCGAAAATTTCCATCAGTATTGACCAGAGCCTTTTGTTGATTTGGATTCAATTTCAAGCATCTAATAATTAAGCAGAGTTAGGTCAAAATATACTATCATACACACATTCAGACATATAAATATATAGGCGTATTTCAAAAC